TTTTTTGGTTCATTGGCTGCCTGGGTAAGTTAGTAATTCTTTGAAAAAAGCATATGAGAAACTCTGGCTATCTATCACACCCATTTCTTTCTAGTTCTTATCATATAGTTGGACTGTGTTTTACAGACACTCCTGCAATTGAGTGTGGCCATATTACCGAGAATTAGCTAATAAAATGACAGCAGAAGTGATACGTACCAAGTATCAGTTAAGTGTGTTTCCTAAACCAGCAGGATTGGTCACCTGCACCTGGGAGCTTGTAGGAGATGCAGAATCCTGAGCCCCACCCACGCCTACTAAGTCAGAATCTCGGGGTGGTCCACGCTGAACTCCCCAGGCCATTCTGGTGCAGTTTGCAGTTTGAGAAGCACTGGTACATACCACGTCTGGATTTCCACTTAAGAACCTCCTGTGCCTGGTATGTCAGGTTCTTTCCCCTCTCCTGGCTGGACACAGAAGTGTTGGTTCATTGTCAGGTGCAGGAGAGTTGCTCATTCATGCAGAGCTTTTGCAGGAGAGTTATAGACAGTGAGAGGGAGAGACAAAGAGAAAGGTCTTTCATCTGCTGGTTCACTCCCCAAGTGGTTGCAATGGCTGGAGTTGGGCCTATCTGAACCAAGGAGCCAGGAGCTTCTTCTGGGACCCAAGCATTTGTGCCATCTTCTGCTGCTTTTCCAGGCCATAGCAGAGAGCTGGATCAGAAGAGGAGCAGCCGGGTCTAGAACCAGTGCCCATTTAAGTGCCGACTGCAGGTGGAGGATTGACCTATGGCAGCACAGTGCCAGCCTCCCTTGGTGGTTGTTCTTTTCCATTTTATTTTTATTTATTTACGTAAAGGGAACAGATTTCATGTATTTCATATATACAGTTTTTTTTTTTTTAAGATTTACCTATTTATTTGAAAAGCAGAGTTACAGAGAGGTAGAGGCGGAGGGGGGGTCTTCCTTCTGCTGGTTTCACTCCCCAATTGGCCGCATCGGCCAGAGCTGCACTGATCCACAGCCAGGATCCAGGAGCTTCCTGTGGGTCCCCCACTTGGGTGCAGGGGCCCAAGAACTTGGGTTATCTTCCACTGCTTTCTGAGACCATAACAGAGAGCTGGATCTGAAGAGGAGCAGCTGGGACTAGAACCAGCACCCATATGGGATGCTGGCACTACAGCTTTATCCCTTCGCCACAGCGCCAGCCTCCATATATACAAATTTTAAAAACATAATGATACTTATCACCCTCCCCCTTCCTTTCTTATTTTATTTTAATTTTTGTGATGACATTCTTTCAATTTATTTTATAATCACAAGCTTAATCCTACATTTAATAAAGAATTATACAAGTAGTAAGTAGAAAGACCATTGTTCCTCAGGAGTATAGGCAAGGGTTATAAACAATAATCAGACCTCAAGATATCAATTTTGCTCATATACATTGCATTTTTTTACTCTCTGTATTAGTTACTGCAAATCAGAGAAAATATGGGATATTTGTTCTTTTGGGGACTGGCTTATTTCACGAAGTGTAATGTTCTCCAAGTGCATCCATTTTGTTGTGAAAGACAAGATTTAATTCTTTTTTATGGATGAGTAGTAGTCCATCATGCATATGTATATCACATTTTCTTTATCCAATCAATAGTTGGTGGACATCTGGGTTGATTCCATATTTTAGCTATTATGAATTGAGCTGCAATAAACATGTGGGTACAGATAACTTTTTCAAATGCTGATTTTGTTTCCTTTGGGTAAATTCCCAGGAAGGGAATGGCTGGGACATATAGATCCATTTTCAGATTTCTGAGGAATCTCCAGACTGTCTTCCATAATGGTTGTACTAGTTTGCATTCTCACCTGCAGTGTATTAGGGTAACTTTTTCTCTACATCCTTGCCAGAATTTGCTATTTTTTGATTTTTGGATAATAGCTATTCTAACTGGGGTGAGGTTAAACATCATTGTGGTTTTTATTTGCATTTACCTGGTGCCTAGTGATCCTGAACAACTTTTGATGTGTCTATTGGCCATTTGTATTTCATCCTTTGAAAAATGCCAGTTCATATCCTTAGCTCATTTCTTAACTGGATTGTTTGTTTTGTTGTTGAGTTTCTTGAGTTCCTTATATTTTCTGGATATTAATTCTTTATCAGATGTATAGTTTGCAAATATTTTCTCCTACTCTGATGGTTACTTCTTCACTTTGTTGAGTGTTTCCTTTGCAGTGCAGAAGCTTCATAACTTTATTTTTGCCTTTATCTCTTGTGTTCTGGGTATCTTATCCAAGAAGTCTTTGCCGAGGCAAATGTCTTGTATTGTTTCCCTATGTTTTACTCCAGTAATTTGATGGTTTCAGGTCTTAGGTTTAGATCCTTGACTCATTGTGAATTGATTTTTGTAAGGATAGGGTCTTGCTTCATAATTCACATGCAGAGATCCAGCTTTCCCAATACCATTTGTTGAAAAGCCTGTCCTTTCTCCAGGGAGTGATTTTTAGCTCATTTGTCAAGAATTAGTTGGTTATAGATGTATGGAATAATTTCTGGTGATTTCTGGTTTTTTTGATCTGTTCCACTGACCCACACATTCTTGATTACGTAGCTTTAGTTTATTACAGGCTACCTTCAAATGATATTTCATCATTTCATGGTCAGTATAGAACTTTATTGTTTTAATTCCATATGTATTCCCTTAATCTTTATCTATCTTGAGTCATATATTTTACTTTTATATGTTTAGGAAATCCTACAAAATAGTTATTTATTTTGATTTACACAATTAATAGTTTTAAAATGAATTTAAAGACACATACTAATATACACAAATCAACCACTTTTGTGTTCTACATTTCTTCCTGCAGATCCAGGCTCCAATCTTGTATACTTTTCTACCATTCTGAGGAAACACTTTTAGCATTTCTTTGATACAAATCTGATGGATTTGCTTGGATCTTTAACCAGTTTTGGAAAGTTTGTAGAGAGTAGATTTTCAAATGTTACTTTTCCCCTTTCTAATCTCTTTCTCCTAATGTTTTGGGTCTCAAGGTTTTGTTACTAGGTCACTTGATATTGTTTCAGAGATCTCAGTTGCTTTCCCCCCCTTTTATTAAATTTTTCTTTTCATTCTGGTTTGGATAGTTTTTATTGAGTTATTTTAAACTTATTTTTCTGTTCTATGTAATCTACTTTTATATAAAATTAATTTTTTATTTCTATTATTGATGTTTTATTTCTAGAATTTTTATTTTTTATAGCTTTCCTTTTTCTGCTGATTTCCCTCATATGTGCATGTATTTTTCATCTGAAATCAGAGTGATTTTTTATAATCCTTTTTGTTCTTTCTGATATCCAGGCTATGTGTGGAAGTGCTTCTATTGACTATTTTTTGAGTGTGGGTCACTTTCTTGCATCATCATCAGTCTTAGAATTTTTGATTGTATACTCATCATTGTGTGTAAAGATTAGTAGATACTGATGTCACTGATATTTTCCTCTATAAGATGACCATTCCTTCTTTCAGTCTAATATTGTGAGAGGATGAGTCAGTCTAATCTGCGGCTGAGTTGGGCGTGGGCCTTGTTGCAGTCTACGTTCCAGCCTACCCTGTTCTGAGGATGCGTTCACAGCTTTCCCTTCAGCAGGGCTTCATAGCCTCAGCCACCAGCTTTCTGCACTCTGGGACCCTCTCTTTGCTTTACAACTTAGCCGCCAAGTATTGGAGGTGCTGAGAGTTCTCTTTGTTTCCTGGTTCTGTCCTCTAGCTTTATGCATTCAGGAAATTCTCTCTGTACAGGGGTGGGGGACCATTTTTCTGTGAATGGACATTTAGATATTTATAACATCATTTGCAGGCCACACAAACTTACCAACTTAATAGTTAGCCTGCTGTAGATTGACTGGATTTTGAGTTGTGCCTGCAGTTGCTTTGGCAGGTTCAGACCAAATATTTCGTAGGCCTTCTATGGCCTAGCCGCTGGATGTTCTTCATTCGTAGGACAATGCCTGCAGGCTTCCTTGTACATGGGAGGATTTTCTCTCATATTTCCTTCTCTGTTCCAGGCTTTTAGTTCCATGTTCTCAGAGTTGGCCTTTGGGGAAGCTTTGGCAAGCAGATGTAGAATATTTCTCTTACTGGAGAATTCAAATTTTAACCTATAATGCTGGCCCATGTATTACTGTCTCTGCTTTCTGTTGCTATAACTGAATACTACAGATTGGTTAATTAATAAAGAATAGAGGTTTATTTAGCTTATAATTCTGGAGGTGGGAAGTTCAAGAGTATGGTGCTGGCATCTAGTGAGAGATTTCTTATAACATGGCAGAGGCATCATACGGCGGATAGAGTAAGCAGCTAGAGAGAGCTTGCTTTTACAAAGCCACTAGGGGGTTAACCCATTAATCAATTACTCCTTCGGTGAATTGATACGTTAATGATCTGATCACCTCCCAGAGGTTCTTCCTGTCAACACTGTTGCACCGGGGAGTAAGCTTCCAACATATGAATCCTGGGAGATGAACCTAAACCACTGCAATGACTGTTACAAGTTCATGCAGAGTTCAGCTGATTTCATCTTATCTCTGCCTATTGCCTATTCCTCCCCTTCCCATTGTTCTACCAGGGATGAAGGCCACTGTAGTGTCTTCTCTCTCATTCCATCTGATGGAATTTCATTCATTTAGATTTCTTACTTTTATGAATATACATATATATCATTAGAAATTATGATTTTGTAGCTTATATGGCCCATTTTTTTTTAAGGTGGGCATGGTACTCTCTTTTAAGTTTCACCATATTCATCAAAGCAGTAGTCTTTCCAGTGAATTTTATGTATTCACTTCTCTAAGTGCATTGCCTAGTTGTATGTGTGTGTGTGTGTCTGTGTGTTGCCTAGTTCTAAGTTCTGCAGCCTGTTGGGTTTACATAGTCCTTTACCATTAAGTTAAATTGAAATCCCAAAAGTCTAAATGGCGAGAGACACCAAATATCCCAACACAATATCAGCAACAGCATCTATTTTTCCAATCTTCTTTTGGTCTCATTTCATATTTCTCTTGAATTCTTTCATTTGAATCTCATTTCTTGCTGCTGTTCCTTTTTCTTTGATGCACATCAACTCTATGTGGATGAAGTCAGGAGATTTCTATAGGAGAGAAAGAATTAAATGATGGAAGAATTAGGATAAGAGAAAAGGAAGCGGTCATCACTCAGTTGGTGTAGGGAATGACCAAGTGAGGGCATTCCAAAAATGATTGGGAGACCTATGTTCTTCATCCTTTTGATCACATAAAAAGATGGAGTTAGGCCGGCGCCGCGGCTCACTAGGCTAATCCTCCGCCTTGCGGCGCCAGCACACAGGGTTCTAGTCCCGGTCGGGGCACCGGATCCTGTCCCGGTTGCCCCTCTTCCAGGCCAGCTCTCTGCTGTGGCCTGGGAGTGCAGTGGAGGATGGCCCAAGTACTTGGGCCCTGCACCCCATGGGGAGACCAGGATAAGTACCTGGCTCCTGCCATTGGATTGGCGCGGTGCGCTGGTTGCAGCGCGCCGGCCGCAGCGGCCATTGGAGGGTGAACCAACGGCAAAAGGAAGACCTTTCTCTCTGTCTCTCTCTCACTGTCCACTCTGCCTGTCAAAAAAAAAAAAAAAAAAAAAAGATGGAGTTAGACTTTCACTCTTGTCCCTTTCTACTCTGAGAATTATGATTTTATTGTTGAAAATTCTAGTGAGCTGCTTAAGCTCTGTGTGGTCACTCTTTGGAACTAACGATCCAACTTGCAATTGGTGAGAAGAATGGTGTGATCTACAGCCAACGCCTCTACCAGCCCCCCTCTCACCAAATGGTGGATGCAGACCCACTTGTGGAGAACGTCTGGTTAGAGCTCATTCTCTCTCCTCCCCTCCTTCCTGTCCTGGGTACGTCTCTTCTAAGAGACTTTCACCAAGTTCCCTTACTATGTGGTTCTTATGACACAGGATTTAAAAGACAAAACTTTTCAAAATAATATCAAGTGATTCTGAAAATAAACAACTTCTTTCATTTCAGGGCCTGACCGTTCTATCATTTAGACACACACGCACTGCAGTTGTGAAAACATTGAATGTGACTAGGGGGTAAGATTCAATTTCGGGTAAATTTCACAAGGGCATCTTCAGGAGAAAAAAAATAGAAAAGACCCAACCACACCGATGCAATAAAACAAGACAGGGAAAAAGGAGACAGCAAAGATCTTTTTTTCAAGGCTAACTCGTCTGCAGTTCCTTTAATGGAATTTAAGCTTAGGGTAAAAGAAAGGTCTGTGTATGTGGCTGGTGGCTTCATCACATCACATTGTCACCTCCGGCCTTCATTTCACTCACCATGGGGGTACAGATGTGATTGCTCTTGGAGTTCCTTTCCTAACAGAAAAGGGGCAGCTGCAACACCCAGCTGATGACTGCAAGGCCTCTCATAGCTGAGTAAGGACATACTTCATCTTTTCCTTTGTGGCTCTTAGCAGAACATGCTGCTATTTGCACGTTTGCCTCCAGCTACCAGAGAAATAACTCATCTCCTCCAGTATACCACAGCCCCTCTGTCCGGACATTTACCATAGTGCTTGACACTTTGCCTGTAGTGTCTGTCTCCCTGCTTTGTCTCTTCTATTAAATCTGCACTTTTCAGAAGAAGGGACTCTATCTTGTTTGTCTAAATATCCCAGAGCCCAACACAGTACTTGGAAGACTGGGAGTGCACAATAAATATTTGCTGAAGGAAAGAATGGATAAGTGCATGAACGAAAGAAAATATATTTGTAACATGCTGAATATAATTTCGGGAATTAAAAATGCACCAATACACACAATTCTGAAAAACCAAACTCAAAATAGCACTTTGATTTCCTTCACTATTCTAAGTTTTGATTTAAAAGTTCTTGAAGGTAATCCATCACTTTTATTAGGTATGAATTTGGCTATCAACAGAAAGTCTACAGAAGCGGTTTAAAAACATTGAGGTTTAATTTCCTCTTAAAAAATAAAATATGAAGTTAGAGAGTCCACAGTAAGTAGAGCTGATTCATGACGTTTCCAGGAATTCACTCTCTCTGTCTGCTCCAATCCATCCTTAGTGTGTGGTTTCTATTGTCAAGGTTATCAGAGGCTGCTAGAGATCCAAGTAATACATCTGCATCTAAGCCCAAATGTATCTTGTTAACTTCTAACTCTGCTGAGTTATAGCTGCAGGAGTTTCCAATTCCTGGGTCAGGCAGAGTTTCAGCTTGTGCCTTACTTTCCCTTTTGGGCCTTACAGGGTAAAGGAATCAATACTATACCCTCACTAAGACACAGCTCATCTGCATAGGACCATCAAGAGTTTCATTACGCAGTATCCTTGCCTTTAGTCAGGACAGACTCTGCAGTATAATTTATACTCCAGAACGTCCATGGGAATTCCAGCTGGTGATGGGACTTGACCAGAAATTGCATTTTTTCTTGGCATTCCCCTTCCCCAAATCCCTTATCAGTTTCTCTGGGAGGAACTTTCTTAACACATTGCTTGAACATGAATCCTTGTATTAGTATTTGTTTCTGTGAAACTTGACCCAAGATAATGCATGCTTAGGAAAAGTTGAGGCAAGGTTCAAGGTCAAGTAAGAGTAATCTTCATTCTAAAACAGTTGGATCCTGTCACATGAGTGAGGCAGTGCTGAATATAATGATCCGTGTTTAAAGATGTTATATTTAATCTCATTCTGGTTGTGCCAGTTAAAGTCTATGATATAGCTATAAATAAGAGTTGCATGGACCAAAATAAAGATCATAACACCCTGTCCTCACAATTTACTTGAGGCCCCAAACTGGGTGCCTTGAAGCCTCAACAAGTCCATGAAGATTTGCATTTTGTTTATTTTCCAGTGTTCCCAAGTCATGAACTAGAAGTTAACCATTTCCCAAAAGGAATTTACTTCCAAGAATTGTAAGCATTTCCTGCATGGAGTCCCATGCTTTTCAGATATAGAATAGGAAGGAGTAGAGAAGATGGCACATCTCTCAAAGGTCGTAGCAAGTACAGGGTAGAGTATTGGAATCTTCCTGGCTAACTTACTCTCCCAGTTTTATCAGTTGAATATATCATTCCATTCCCCTTTGCATCAACCTGAATTGAATGGGTTTGGAGGTGGAGAGGGAATAAGAGATCTATATTAATGAAACTCTTACAACATGGAAGGGAACATGAGTAGCAGGAAACAAATATTTCTGCTTACAGCTTCTAACAGATCTTTGCTTTTTCCAGGTATCTATATCTCTCCATGACCATATGCTCCTAGCCCTAAGTCCCGGGCCACAGTGGAGAATCAATTTGGTTTAAGTCAATCATGGTGGTTCTATTTTAGCTATGATCAGTTTAGAAAGATGGAGTTGATGAAGATAATCCCCTTTCCTTCCACAGACGTTAAGAGGATTCAATCTTTCTCCTGATATGGATATACAAGGGAAGTTCCTAAAGTTCATGGAAAAATGTAACTCAAAGTTGTTTATTTTGGTGCAAAAATTTTTGAAATCTATACATAAAGTTTTCATAACATATATTCCCATGAACTTTTTGAAGACCCTCCTTATATGCATAAATTTCAATATTTTTGCACCAAAGAAACACTTTTAATTCCATTTCCATGACCATTTGAAGTACCTTGGTATGTGATATGAATTTTCCATTTTTATGTTACCATTATAATTTTGTCAGCTCATGTCAAATTTGTATTAAACTAATACCTCATAGACCAATTGCATATAAACAGCTTTCAGACCCAATCCCTGTCTTCCTTACTAGTGCCTGTGAGTTTTGAACTAAATTTGGTACTATAATCTTCCTTCAACTTCAAAATACACTGAAACAGAATGAGATCTACTTTTGTACACCTGCTTCATCACTGTTGGAATTTCAGTTCCATAAAGACAGAATTGCATGGATTGTGAGTCACTTCTGTTGGGGATAATTAGAAGGAGAGGAAATTGGGAGATATGGGACTAGAAAGAGGAGGTAAAGCAGATGGCAGAGACAGGATGGAGATCTTTGCAGGAATCCTTGGGGAGGAAAAGAAAATGAAGCACAGTTGATGCAGAATAGAGCTCAGGTGGTATCTATGAGCAGGAATTGTAAAGTTGTGAGCCAAGATAGGAGGGTTTATTTATTTATTTGAAAGATGAAGAGAGAGAGAGAGAGAGAGAGAGAGAGATTGATTCTGTATACTACTTCACTCCTCAAATGCCAGTCAGTCTGCATCTCTCATGTTGGTGGCAGGGACCCCAGTACTTGAGCCATCATCTGTCTGCTGCTTCCCAGGGTGTGCATTAGCAAGCAAGTGAGTCAAGGGCAGAATGTTAGGGACTCAAATTCAAGAACGTTTTTAGGTAGCTTAACTGCTGCACCAGATGCTACCCTAGCAGAGAGGGGTTGACAGGGGCCTGATCTGTGGAGTTGGCAGGGACTGTTTTCTGGGGGATGGAATTGGGAAGGCATTCATCACCTGAGTGGAGAACCAAGCGCAGAAAACAATAAATGGAATTTACAAGCACTTCACTGGAATTTTAAGAAACTCTTTAAGTTTCAAGTAAGAAAGTAAATGGAGATGAATATTGTAGTATCCATTATTACTTATTTAAGATATTTATAATGTCTATTATTTTATTTATAAAATGTATTAAAAGACTGTTGATGGTTCAATTCTGATTTCAGTTCCTCACACTTATATGATTCTAATTTCCCAACTTCAAAATTTCTGACAACAGGGATTTTCTGTACTGTAGTTCTGAGTTTGATAAGGAATTAAAAATATTTTACAGTTATCTCCCTAAGTTTCATCTTATTAGCATAAAAGACAGATGGAATAGATTTGACTACTTAAAATTACAAAGTTATGCATAGAAAAATAGGCATTAAACAGAGTAGAGAAGCAAGCAATACGCTGGTGAGAATGTTTGAAACATACATGAGTGGCAAGGGTTACAATCCCTAATCTACTAAAAAGCTTTTTCACATGTCAAGAAAAATACACATACCTCAACTGAAAACCAGGTAGAAGGCATGATGAGCAACTCACAGTAAACTGGTGAGCATGAAAATCTGCTCAGCTTCTCCAGGAGGCACAGCAATGCAAATGAAAA